AGGCTGCCCCATGAACACCAAGGCTATATGCCCCAAGGAATGCTGGAGCAAAGCATGCTGGGAAATGTAGTTTTCACTCTCCTCTGGCTCCTACCTGGGAGAGCTAGTTCTACTGTAAACAGCAGACGAGGTAGGTCCCACAGCATGCTGGGATATGTAGTCTCTCTGCAAACAGCTGAGCAGGTGTGCCCTATTCCTGGGCAGTCCCAAAGCATTCTGGCAAATGGAGTTTTCCCTCCACAAACATTCGCCAGGATACTTTTAGAAGCATGCTGGGAGATGTAGTCCTGCTGCCAACATCAGACCAGGTATGCCACACCATGCATAAAATGGATTTTGGGAAATGTAGTGCTCCCAAGAGCTCCAGTCCAGGTATGTTCCAAAGAATTCTGGGAAATGTAGTATTTCCATCAAGGAACTCCTGCCCAGGCATTTGTTCACTTATGCAAGTAATTGTGTTTTTCCCCCCTTAAATTAAGAACATTAATTAAATTAAATTAAATTAATTTCTTTGTCACTTTTCAGCCTAGTTGGAGCCCCGCCCACTTATGTCCCAAAACATGCTGGGAAATGGAGTCCCAACCAACACATATTCCTGCTCCAAGGCATGCTGGGAAATGTAGTTTGAGCAACCCACTCAGGCTTCTCTTAAAGGACTGTGCAATGCATCTTAGACAATGTAGTCTTTGTGAATGCAAGGCACCTTGGACAGTGTAGTCTTTGTAGACGCAATACATCTTGGGTAATGTAGTTTTGTCAACGCAATGCATGTTGGGCAATGTAGTCTTTGAAGAAGCTTCACCCCCCCCCCCAGCAGCCAAGAAAGAAAACCTTGCAACCTTTTTAAAGTCTGCATCTGCACTGCAAGAATAATGCAGTTTGACACCACTTTAAAGTACTGTAGCTCCATCCTATGGAGTCCTGGGATCTGTAGTTTTACAAGGTTTTAGCCTTCTCTGCCACAGAGGGCTGGTGCCTCACAAAACTATCAATCCCAGGATATTGTAGGATGGAGCCATGGAAGATAAACTGGTGTCAAACTACATTATTTCTATGCATCCCAGGACTGAAAAGTCCATTTTTGGCTGGAGGTTTAATGGCCCACAAGCCTCTCTCTTGGATCAGGTCCTCAAATGCACCCTCTCCATGTAGTTTTGGGACTAGCCCCCCCCCCCAAAAAAAAGATGTGCCCAAAGTACTGTGGGAGTTGGAGTCTTTCCCATATTCTTTCAGTGCAGACTTTTTATTCCAGTGTATTGGACACTGTAATTTCTTAAAAAAGGAATTTAAAACATGACCAACGGGGATTTCAAAATTCAAAATGCATATACGCTTGTCCCTCCACGTTTGCGGCTTTGACTTTTGTGGACTTGATTATTCACAGATTGTATTAGTATGTTCTCTCTAGAAATCTCTAGGTCCTCCAGCGCAACTCTATGGTCAATGTCAGGCAGGTGTTGATCACAGAGTTACCCTGGAGGACCTAGAAATTCCTAGAGAGGTAAAAACATAGTTTTTTAAAAAATTATTTGCAGTTTTTCCACATTCACGGGGGTCCTGTGCCCCTAACTCCAGCCAATGTGGAGGGACGAGTGTCCTTCTATTCCAGGGTGGGCAAAATTTGGGCCTCCACATGTTGGACTGCAGGTCCCATCATCCCTGGAGCCATGGATGCTGACGGTGAAGGATACAGGGAGTTGCAGTCCAAACCTCATCTGAGAATTTCCACCTTTAATTTATACTGGCTGGGAATTGTGCAGCTCCTAGAAGTGGTTGGACTGCATGTCCCAGCATTGCCTCAACCAGCATAGTGAGGAATGATGGGACATACAGTCCAAAAATACCAGGAAGTCTTCACAGTTCTCACCCTTGTGATGTTCTGAGGTTTGCTTGAGATGCGATGCATCTTTTCCTCATCTGGCCCTGTATAATGATTGCACCGGCATCCAACTCTCATGCCACACACCTCACAGGTGACAACTTAAAAACACCTTTTCCTTGCAGGAATTAAATCTCTATTCGGGGGGGGGGGAACTGGAAGAGAAAGGCATATATTTAAAACTGACAAAGAATATTGTGGCATTGTAGCAACCAACACATTTGCATTGTCCCGGCTGTCATGGAAAACCAGATGCAGGAAGTGTTCTGTTAATATAGCAGAGACCTATATTTAAATAGGCAGACAATAAAAGGTAAATTCTGAGGTCAGAAGACAGACTCTGAAAACACGATGGACTGGGATCATTACTGTATGTGGTTCTCTGCCTTCCAATAATTTCTGACTTCTGGTGACCCTGAGGAGAACTTATCAAGGGGTTTTCTTGGCAAGACTTGCTCGGAGGTTTGTTTTGCCTTCCTCTGAGGCTGAGAGAGTGTGACTTGTCCCAAGTCTCCCAATGGGTTTATGTGGCTGAGCCTGGAAGACCAATCCCTGGTCTCATAGAAAATCATAGCATCACAGAGTTGGAGGAGACCCCCAGAGACCATTCGGTTCAACCCCATCAGAGCACTCCTCTTGACAGATGCCCATCCAGCCTCCCTTTAAAACCTCCAAAGAAGGAGGCTCCACCAAACCCCAAGGCACATCCCTTTGTGGAACCGTTCTTACCCTTAGGATGTTCTTCCTAATGTTTAGGTAAAACCTCTTCCCCTATTGCTCCATTGTGTCCTATTCTCTGGAGCAGCAGAAAGCAAGCTTGCTCCATCATTTCTCTTCCTAAACTTCTCTTCTCCAGCTCCCATTGGGATTAATGGTTTCCAGACCCTTCACCGTCTTGGTCACCTTCCTCTGGACATGCTTCAGCTTGTCCACCTCCTTCTTGAATTGCAGTGCCCAGGATTCCCAGTGAGGCTTGACTAAAGCAGAAGAGAGTGATACTACTACTTCCCTCAATCTAGATTCTTATGGATGAACTGCATTGGCCTTTTTAGCTGCTGCATCACACTGTTGGCTCATGTTCAGCTTGTAGACTCCTAGATCCCTTTTGCACAGAGAGACCCACAGGCCCATGTGTCAACCACGCCAGAGGTAGCAAGGCAACCAAAAATTATATTTTTACCTTTTAACCTCTGCCTCCTCCCACTGCCATTAGGCATCGCTGAGCACCCCCTTCCACCAACTGGTTGGACTCCAACTACCATCATCCCCTGCCAGAAGGATAACTGGCCCTACTGGCTGGGGTTAATTGGAAGACTCCTAGACCTCTTTTGTATGTAGTATTATCAAGCTTCACCACTTTTGCTTTTGGGACCACTACCCACCACTGGAAGGTGGCACCAAAGAACCTGCTGCTGACTGAGGATGATGGGATTAGTAGTCCAATCAGGGAATGAGGCTTGGGTAGGCAGCTCTGGATTAGATGAATATGTTTTCTCTAGGAATCTCTGGGTCCTCCAGTGCACCTCTGTAGTCATCTCTGGCACAGGTGCGCTGGGGGACCTAGAGATTCCTCCATATTAATCTAAATCTGTAAAAGTCAAAGCCGCAAACATGAACTGTGATCCAAAATGTTGGATGGGCACCAGACTGGTGGCTTGGGTGTAAACATGAACCAAAAAACAGCAAGTAATGGCTCCTTTGTGGCACTGTTTGTGTAATGGGTGGAATTGTTTTTCTTTTTCCTTAATTCTCTCCCAACCCAAAGATGAGTCCAGGTGGGGTAGACAAGGTTTCTCTCCTTCCTCTTTCTTCTCCTTCTCCTTCCTCCTCCTTCTCCCCCACCTTTTCCCTTTGTTCCGACTACTTCAACGGCCGGTACACCCAATCGGGGCCGGCCGGCTGTTCTGGCCACACGTGCCGTTGCTTTGTGTTGGGGGGCTCCGTCTGCGCCGCCGTCCCCGTGGTCATGCCGGTCACCATGTTGTGGAACCGGGACAGTCCCGGCATCCCTCCGCCTTGTTGCTCAACCTCCCGGGATCTACGTCGGTCTCGGGGTTCATACTCCTGCATTTCCTCCAACCCCAGAGTCCCACGGCGCCGTTGGAGTCTTTCGGGGCTGGGTGACCGGCTCCCCGGTGGGGTTTGCGGGTGCACCGGGTAGATGTAAACTTTGGTCGGCCGACGGGAGCGTGTGAGGTTGGCCCCCGGATATTCGGCGTCCGGAGATGGCCCCGCTGAATGGTACTGCGTCTCTCCGACCTGTGTCCGCGGATAGAGTTCATTCACCACCCCGAGGGTGTTTCGCCGTTCGTTGCTGCCAGAGGACAACATGGGCTCGGAGGAGCCACAAGCCACGTCCCGGTATCGGATGACGTGGGCCGCAGGAGCAGAGACAGTTCGGGGACGGTACCGGGTTTCGTATTCACAGTTATCGCAGTGCGGCGAGTGGTACGTCGGGTGGTCAGGATATGGCCTCCGCCCAACCCGCTGGTGTTCTTTATAAGGCAAATGGTCATTCTGGACATTCATGGTGAGCTTGAGCGGCTCAAGGGTGCAGTGGACACAATGAGGGTGCGGAGGACTGCTTTCCCAGCGTTTCCGGCGAGAGACGACTGGCTCTGACCACTGGGCCAAGGGTCTTCGGCTACGGCTCTTCCTCACTGTGGTGGGACCAGCCATTGGCTTTTCAGTTTCTGAGAAAGAGGAAACAAAACATGACTTCAGAGCCCATAATCCACAGCTGGACAGAAGGACGGCATCCAACTCTGACCGCTCCATCCACTTTCCTTGATGGCTTTTGAGTGTAACACTAAAAGAGCTACAGTCAGCCGTTCGTATCTACAGGGTTTTTTTAATCCAGGGATTCAAGCATCCACAGTTTAAAAATATTTTTTAAAAATTATAAATTCCTAAAAGCAAACCTTGATTTTGCCATTTTATACAAGGGACATGATTTGTCTGTTGTTGTTGTGTGCCTTCAAATCAGTTCTTGCTTATAGTGACCCAAAGGCAAACCTATCATTGGGTTTTCTTGGCAAAATTTGTTCAGAGGAGGTTTGCCCTTGCCTTCCTCTGAGGCTGAGAGAGTGTGACTTGCCCAACATCACCCAGTAGGTTTTCATAGTTCAGCTGGGATTCGAACCCTGGTCTCCAGAGTCACAGTCCAACAACCAAACCACTACATCACACTGGTTCATGCCATTGCATTTAATGAGACTTGAGAATGCATGCATTTTGATATCCACGGAGGTACCAGCGGATGCCAAGGACCCGCTATATTCAAACACATGGCTGCATCCACACTGCAAAAATAGTTTGACACCTATGAAATTCTAGGAACAGTGGTTTTGTGAGACATTGAGCCTTCTCTGTCGGAGAGCTCTGATGCCCATCAAACTACAGTTCCCAAGATTCCATAGCCACTGAGCCGTGGCAATTGAAGTGATGCCAAACTGGATTATTTATGCAGTATGGATGTAGCCATATGTTAAACATTTACTAATCTGTAATAATATTACGTGTCTGTGTGGATGTATCTGTCTTTGTCTCAGCCTGAAACACCTGAAATTTTGTGCAAGTATTAAGGAGATCCTAGAGGTGAGCAGGGAACCAGCATAGTGTAGTGCAGGGGTAGGCAACCTTTCCCCTTTAAGGGCCGAGGGACTTCAGCTCCCAGAAGCCTCAGCCATGTTGGCCAATAGTCCCATGTTGACCAATAGCTCCTGGGATTCTGGGAGCTGAAGTCCCTCGGTCCTTAAAGGGGAAAGGTTGCCTACCCCTGGTGTAGTGGCTTGAGCCTTGGACTATGACTAGAGAGACCAGGGTCCAAACCCCAGCTCTGCCATATAAACCCACTGGGTGGGCAAGTCACACTCTCTCAGACTCAGGGGTTTGCAATGGCAAACCTCCTCTGAAGAAACTTGCCAAGAAAGCCCTTTGGCCTTATAAGTTGGAAAAGACTTGAAGGCCCACAACAAAGAAGTGAGTACTTTGGGATTAATTTGTTATCTGAGGCTGCTGCCACACTACAGAATTAATGTAGTTTGACACTGCTTTAACTGTCATGGCTCCATCCTATGGAATCCTGGGATTTGTAGTGTGGTACCAGAGCTCTCTGACAGAGAAGGCTAAATATCTCGCAAAACTACAAGTCCCAGTTTTGAGCCAAGGCAATTAAGATAGTGTCAAACTGCATTAATTCTGCAGTGTAGATGCATCCACTGTGACTTAATTCATTTTATGCAAATACAGTATATAATCAGTCCACAGACTGCATTACCATCTTCTGTCACTAGGTGGCAGACTTTCCTAACTTTCTCTACAAATGAATCATACTGCATCACCATCTTCTGTCACTAGGTGGCAGACTTCCCTAACTTTCTCTAGAAATGAAACGGACTGCATCACCATCTTCTGTCACTAGGTGGCAGACTTCCCTAACCTTCTCTACAAATGAATCAGACTGCATCACCATCTTCTATCACTAGGTGGCAGACTTTCCTAACTTTCTCTACAAATGAATCAGACTGCATCACCATCTTCTGTCACTAGGTGGCAGACTTCCCAAACTTTCTCTAGAAATGAAGCTGTAAGCAAGGCAAAGACATTCATTCTCTCCTGGGGCCTCTAGGTATCTCCATGTACTGCTTTTTTAACAGGGCCCTCCAAACTTCAGTCAGTTGTGAGATATATATATATATATATATATATATATATATATATATATATATATAAAGAGAGGGAAAGAGGCAGTGTTTCTGCTTTGTAAAGGGGCAGATAAAGACACAGTGGGAAGGGTTGCATGAGTGCCAGGTGGAGGGAAAGAAAGACCAGAGCAAAATAAAAAGAGCTGGAGTGGAGGAAGAGAAGTGAAGGACCAGATGGAAAGAGAAAGGAGAAAGCGCTTAGAAACTTGTAACCCTTGGGAACTTCTGCGAGAACAGCCATGCAATTATCCTACGCTGTTAACTCTGAACATCTATTTGGAGGCTGTTATATAATTCTTTTGGAGACATAAAAGAAATCCACTAATAAAACAGCAAATGGCAACAGACAACAATTTAAGCCGTCATTTAAACAGCAGATTAAAAACAACTGATAGAAATTATATAATACTCATTATGCAACACAAATAAATGCTAATGTTTAGAGTACAGAGTGTCATAGTGTTTATTATACAGTAAATGAATTTATTTCGAAGGATGACACTATGTCTTTCTGTCAGCTTATTCCCAAGGCAGCTCACAAGCAACAAGTAAGTAATAATATAGAAAACCTAAAACACACACACCAAGAGCAGGGACAGTTCTGATTAACCCTCTCTTCTCCCCCCATCTTTTAGCTGCTTTTAAAATGTCCTGGTTTCTCTCTCTGTTCACTTTCCTCCTTTGTCCTCAGCTTCCTTCCATTGCTGCAAACTAGTTCAAAGTGCAAAAGATGTCCTCAAAGCATTGCCTCCCAATATAGCAAGAAAAAGTGTTGCGTGAACTTTGCTTTCAAAAATTATTTAATGTGGAAATCACACCCTCCATTTGACCTGATTAGTCCTCTGCCATCCCACTTTTTCAGCTGCATTTAAAATGTCCCAGTTTCTCTCTCCTCCTCTCACTTTCCTCCTTTGTCCTCAGCTTCCATCCATTGCTGCAAACTGAGTTCAAAAGATAAAAGTAGTTTGCATCCAATTAACTCAGCAGAGTAGAGAGGTGACGAAATGTAGAATCTTGTCCTTTCCTGCAAGGACAAAAATTATGTATTTAGTTTATAAATTCTGCCCGCTCTCTTCTTCTCTCATCTCGTCTCTACATCATTGAGTTAAATTTAGATCAAACTCCTTTCAAACTTTGCACCCAGTTTGCAGCACTTGAAGAACGCTGAGGGCAACAGTGGGAGGCAGCAAGAGAAACTGGGACATTATAAAAGCGGCTGAAAAAGTGGGATGGCGGAGGGTTACTCGGAGGGTTTGCATTTCAGCCCAGACCCACCTTACCCTTAACTCACCCTTCACAACGATTGTTCCACACAAATTCTGAAGGAGGCAGCAGAGATAATGGCCGATCTGGATGCAGAAAGAAAGAATAACACAGAGAAGTATATATAAAACTGGCGTGGTATGACCAGTGTAATATCATGGGTAGGCAACCTTTCCCCTTTAAGGGCCGAGGGACTTCAGCTCCCAGAAGCCTCAGCCATGTTGGCCTATAATAGTCCCATGTTGGCCAATAGCTCCTGGGATTCTGGGAGCTGAAGTCCCTCGGCCCTTAAAGGGGAAAGGTTGCCTACCCCTGGACCACACCATAAATAGACCCCATAGGTCAGGAGCCACAATGTGCCCATCTAGGTCTTTGGTATAGTGCAGCATTGGGCACCTACATTGGGGGCCAGGGGCTACTCCCCCCTCCAAAAAAAAAAACCCTCTTCCAAATGCTGCAAACCTCCCCCTCAAAAAAAGTCAAGTTCAAATACCCCTGTTTTCTTTTGCAGTCCTTCCCAAAATGGTGACAGAAAGTGGGGTATTTTTGTGTGTTTTCACACATTTCAGGTTGTGTTTTTGTTTTTTGTGATTCTGGGGGCAAAAATTGCCCCAAAATTGTGCTAATATTTTTTAAAATTGGGGGTCAGCTGGCTTTTGGAGACAGTTGAGAGGCTTCCAGGGCCCCAGGAGTGAGGTTCGAG